TCGGGGGGCACCGGGCGGGCCCTGCCCCGGCCCCCCAGGCGGGGAGGGGACTGTGGGGGGCACACGGTGGTGCCGGTCCCGGCCTCGCAGGGATGGGGGGCCCGGCCCTGCCGGCACGGGGAGGACGGGGAGGGGGGACGGGGGGGCTGGCTCCAGAATAAAGTTTATTTATTCTAGTGCCTGGCTCGTTATTCTTGTGGGGGTACCAGGGGAGGAGGGGGTGCAGGGTGGGGAGGAGATGGTCAGGCTGTGGCACCCCRAGTCCTGGTTGAGGGTGGGTTTTGCTGCAGGAGGGCAGCCCAGGACCCCTCCCATTGCCCCCCTGGCTCTGGTCATCCCCAAAGGCTGGGACAGAACCCGCTGGGGTCCCCCCAGCACCCCAAAGCTCTGACCTTCCCAGTCCTGAGGCCACAGTCATGTCCCCCTATGCCAGGGGCCAGCCCTGATTAATTTGTGACACTCCCAGCACAGAGTTTGGGGGCAGCCCTGGCCCCCTGCGCTGGGCTGGGGGATACAGGAGGGTCAGGGGCGTTCCTGCCAGTGCGCAGGGATGGGACCTGTTTGTTTTCTTTTTGTACTTATTTTTTTTTTTCCAGCAGCCGCCGGGTGAGGCCCATCCGCCGCCCACAACAGGAACCGGGGGCAGCGGGGGCAATGGGGCGCAGCCCAGCCCGGCACAGCCCAGCTTTTTCCCGGCTTTTTCCAGGCTTTTTCCCAGCTTTTCCCCGGCTCGGCGAGGGCTGGGACCCCTCCGGGGCAGGCAGAGCCGCCGTCCCCGCCGGGCTGAGGCCGGCCACAGCTCACGACAGCGGTGGCAGCGGTCACACGGTGAGGTCCCCCCGCGGGTGGGGACCGCAGGTTCCCTCCGCAGCCCCCGCCGGCTGCCCGGGCGCCGGACCCCGCTCCTGTGGCCGGTGGCAGCAGCCGGCCCGGGCCGGGGGAGCTTTTCGCAGGAGGTGGGCGAGCTCGGCCAGGCTGAGCAGCGCTGACACCAGCCCCACCACGAAGTARAAGTGGATGAAGACGGTTTTCTCAGTGGGGCGGGACACGAAGCAGTCGACGCGGTGCGGGCAGGGCCGGCGGCGGCACACGAAGAGCGGCTGCACCCTGAAGCCGTAGAGCAGCGCCTGGCCCAGCAGAAAGCCCAGCTCGGCGGCGATCCGGGCCACCACGCTGCCCACGTAGAAGGGCTGCAGGCGGCGGGTGCGCTGGCCCGGGGCTCCCCCGCGCCCCGGTTTGGCCGCCTGGTGCACGGCGAAGATGACGAAAAGGGCGGCGGGCGCCGAGAGCACGACAACGTGGAAGACGAGGAAGCGATAGTGGGAGATGGGGAAGGCAGCGTCGTAGCACACGGGTTTGCAGCCCGGCTGCTGCGTGTTACACACGAACTCCTCCTGCTCGTCCTCGAAGACGTCGCTGCCCACGGTGGCCAGGACGAGGATGCGGAAGAGGAGCATCACCACCAGCCAGAAGCGGCCCACCATGGGCGAGTGCTCCTGCACGGCGTCCAGCAGCGAGCTCAGGAAGCCCCACTCGCCCATGGCCGCGCTGCGGGAGCGGGGTCAGTGTTTGGGGGACGCGGTGCCAGCGAGGTCGGACCCCGGCGGCGGCACGACCCCTCCAKCTCTCCATCCTCCCTCCATTCCCGCTCACGGAGGGTGCCCAGGTGCTGCCAGCCCGGCTCAGCCCTGTCACCAGTGTCCCCAGGCACCCGCTGTGCCCAGGATTCGCTCCCCTAGGGATGGATCCGAGGACACCAGCGGGGCAGGAGCAGCAGGACCCCATCCCTTCTCCCCCACCACCCACCCCTGGAGCCCCTCACAACTGCCCCGTACCTGCGGAGGCTGCGGTCCACSGTGTGCCAGCGCTGCCGGCTGTCCAGGGCTGTCCAGGACTGTCCAGTCCCTTGCCCAGCTGGGACGGGATAATGGTCCCACGGCCACGCCTGGAGTGCTTTTAAAGGGACAGAACACCCGCAGGGACGCCTGGAGGGAGGGAAGGGCTCGGCACTRCCGGTGGGGCTCAAGGACAAACAGAGCCAGGAGCTGCTCGGGCACAGGTTGGCAGAGGGGTGGTGTCTCCTCCGATGCAGAAATGCCCCCAAACTTCGGCCTTCCCAAACCCGGGCCTCAGGGTCCCCAAATCACAGCTCTCAGCCCCCAGTGCTGGCATCACCCCCTGACCCATCAGAACCTGGCTACATCCAGCGCTGCTGCCACAGAGGGTCCCAAGGATCTTCCCAGGTTGTCCCCAGCTCTGGCACGTTTGGACTGATCCCTGCAAAATTCCCTGTGGCACTGCCAGGGCACCTGCCAGCCCTTGCCCAGGTCAGGTCAGCACTGAAAGCCTTTGCTGGTGCCTCAAATCCCTTTTTCAATAATGGGAACAGAGCCCTGGACAGCTCAGATCACCCTCAGACCCCCTCGCCCCTTGGGATCGTGCAATGCCCAGGGTGGGTCAGTGATGATGCCCACAGCCCAACTCCCATCCAGCAGCATCCTCAGCACCCCATCCGAGATTCTGGGATGGAGAAACTCCTGGTATGGATACTGTGGTCCACTCTGTGTTCCCAGAGCTCGACACCCACATTTGGGTGATGCCAGGTTGTGAGAGCAGCCCCACAACCCACCCGTGGCTCTGTCATGGGTCATGTTGTGCAGAGAGGAGCTGTAAATAGCCCGGCCCTCAGAGGGGACGCGCTGGAGACGCTCTCCAGAGCCAGTGGAAAATCTGACAGTGCTTTCCACACTTGACTGGGTTCCAGCAAAGCACCGATAGCATGGGGGGCCCTGGGGTGCCATGGAATTGTGGAATGGTTTGGATGGGAAGGGACTTAAAGCTCATSCATGGCCATGGGCAGGGACAGCTTTCACTATCTCAGGCTGCTCCARCCCGGCCTTGGACACTTCCAGGGATGGGGCAGCCACAGCTTCTYTGGGCCAGCAGCTCCCCCCGTGCCGGAGACCACAGGGGTGTTCACAGGAATTTGGCTGTGGAGCCACAGTGGCCACAGCCAGTGGGGAAGTGGCCAACCAGCCCAACACCCCTCAGTGCTTGTGCCAAGCCCTCTGCTCCGACAGAGGGAGGGCTTAGCACAAGCTCTGCAGTGGTTATTTTCCTGAAACACACAAATTCAGTGAAGAAAATAAGTAAAAACACTTTTATTAGACAAATAGTAAAAAGGACAAACTCAGGACAACAAGAAACAACAAGAAAATATTTACAAGTAAAGGAATAGAGCGGGGAAAAACGTCTTCAGCTCACCTCTGTTGGGTGGTGGAATTAAAAGTTAATATATTTTAGTACTTTAAGATATTTTAAGAGGGATGTATAAAATTTTAAAGGACTTGGCATGTTCTAAAAGTCAACTTTAACACTAAAATGACCACAAAGTCTCAAATAATGGGGAAGAGGGAAGTGCGGCTGCACTCACAGGGCACGTGGCTCCAGTGTTCACCAAAAAGGGGATGTTCCTATTCAAAAAAATCTAACTTCGTTAATACCAAGAAAAAAACTAGCTGTGTTCACCTGTAACAAACTTCCTTGGAGTGGTTTACATTCACTGAAGATTTCCCAGGCTCAGATGGTCTTTGGTGGAAGCTCCRGTGCTCTGCTGCAGGCTCGTTGTGGGTCTGGAGTTTAAAACTTTCCTAAAAACTCAAAATATATCATCCTCAGAGGAATCCTCCAGGTACTGGACAGGTTTTTTGAGGCGGCCAGGCCTGGCACGGGGCTGAGCTACAGGGCTGTCGGCATCGGAGTCAATGACGAAGATGTTGTCCTGTAGCTTGGATTTCTGGAGGGAAAGCAAGAAAGGAGTCATGGATGTGAGCATCCACAGGGAACACTGTGCCATGGGTATGGTGGGTGTTTGAGGTGTTGGGAGCAGACCAAGGATCTGGGGTGCCTGACCCTTATGAGGGAAAGGTTTTTATTCCAGAGGGTACCCAGGCTCCCCAGAGAATGGGCACAGCCCCAGAGCTCCAGRAGTGTTTGTTTAACACTCCCAGACACAGGGTGGGATTGTTRGGGTATCYTGTGCAGGGCCAGGAGCTGGATTYGATGATCCCTGTGGGTCCTTTCCAGCTCAGAATATTCCATGATTTTATGACCCCCCCTTTTCCCCACTCCCCCCTCCAGCGTAGAGGTTCGACCTCCACCAGCTTTTCCTGCCGGAAGAACCGACCCCACACTCGGCAATTCCCGACGGCGTTGCACAAACCTTTGATGCGACAGATTTGGCCGGCTTCGAGCCGCAATCCGAATCAGAATCCGAATCCAAACAGCTTGGCTGCCTCTTCATAACCTTCTTCCCCTTGGCGTTGTCACCCTTGGCGCGCTGGGGTCCCTCCTTCGCCGCTGGCTTGGGTTTGGGTGCAGCCTTTTTCTTGGCCAGGAGATCCATGATGGAGGGCTGGTTGTCTGGAACAGAACACAGCATTAAACCCCTGCTTTGCTCCTCTCCCGTTCCCAGTTTGGGAATTACTTCCAACACAAACAGACTCTGCGCTGCCGCGGGGTCAGCGCACAGGTCGTCTCCGTTTGAAGCTGGGTTTTCTAGAAAGATCTCTCTTCCACAGATGGTGAGGAATGAGGTTGTTTATCTGCTCAGTTCCGCTACATTTAGAGGATCAAATTAAAGTGTCCCCAAAGCAATTTTCAGACTATTTCAGACTGAAAAGTCTCGATCTTTCAAGGCTCTGTAACCTATCTCAGACCTTCAAATTCCTGCACAGGGAGGAAGAAATTTCCCAAACATTCACTCATTTCCCTTCTTTCCTATATTTTGACTTTTTTTAAGAGCGTCTTGAAGCACAACTTCCAGTTCAGCTCATTTCAGGCCATTTCTGAGTGATAACAGGCTTTCTCAATTTAGGAGTGGAAGTAACACTATCTTCCTGCTGGGATCAACACTGAGTTGATATTGTTTGGAATATGCAAAACAATGTCAAAGTCTGGCAGCTGAGTTTAAAAAACCCAAACTCTGGAGAGGGATGAGATGGATCCAGCACTGAACAGATCAAACTACCCCCAAAAGCTTGCCTGCTCCATGGCAGCTTTCTTCCCAAAAAGACATGAAGTAGGACATTGACTGCAAGACACAAATTCCACTCAGATTATCCCTGCCAAGTATTACATAGCGCTGTAGGAAGCATTCACTTTTCCTGTTCCCAAACTAAAATTCCCTCCCTCCAAGCATGTCCARCATGAACTAGAACATGATATGTTTGGAAACAGCCCTCAAACATGACAACTAGAGAACCTCTGCCACAAACCTCAGATCTTTGCTGAAATGCAAACTCCAGTTGCCCAAGCCCTGGAACGCCAAGTGAAATYGCTCAGACCATTTCCCACAGGAATCATAATTGTTCTTTGAAACTGATGTTGCTGAGCTGCCCTTACCCTTGGTGGCTCCAGCTTTCTTGGCTGCTGCAGGTTTTTTGGGCATGGCCTTGGTGCTCGGCGCCGGGACGGATGGAGCTGCGGGAGCCTCGCTCACCTTGTCCTCAGGGACATCTTGGACTGGAACTGGATAAAGAAAGCAGAAAGTCAGCCTGAAACAACCAAGTTATCACCTCTGCTCTTTCCTGGGCACTGCTGAGGGATTTTAGGACAATCCATATGGTTTAGAGGTCTCGCACTCACCGGGAGCAGCACTTGGCTCTGCCTTTTGCTTGGGATCTTTCGCTGCTTTTTCAGTGGTTTCCCTGGAAAACAGAACCCTGAGTTTTAAATTCAGTTTATGATGCACTACATAGGTGCATTATAAAAAAAAAAAAAAGTGTTTTTAATTTCTGTGTGGCATTAAGCACAASTAATTTCCAGTGATTATGGAAAAATACCCACTTGGGAGCAGGTCTGGGCTTGGGAGGAAGTTTTTTCTTGGAGTTTGTGTCTGATTCAGAGTTGCTGTCACTGTCACCGTGGAATTGAAACTCCTCATCTGAGCTGGAATTTGAGTCCGAAACGACCATGGGCTTGACTTTGGCTGGTGGAAGRACACAGATGTGTTATTTTACACATTTGGCAATATGCAGCTCAGTTTCTTTTTCAATATTTTAGTTGCAGTTATTAAAAAATAAAGACCTGAATAAAAACAAGCAGATGCTGAGTCTGCCAGGGAGAAGASTCCAAATGAGACGTGTGTTCTGTCATTTGGAGTTTTCCAACCTCACCCACAACACATTTAATTTGCCAAGACAGTTGTGTAATTAAACCCAATAACCATATTTCTCTAGTTGCCCATTTCTGCTTTTCCTTGAAAATGTGCACGAATGTTAGAAACATTTAATAGTTTCAGACAGTAAAATAAAGAAGCCTTTTAAAGATGATTTCTAAATGTGATCTGAGGCTCTGGGAGCTCCCTAAATAGTCTGTTCCATTTTCTCTCCCACAAGGAGGACCACTGCTCTCCTGCATCCATGTCCTCACTCACCTGCTGCCTGGCGAACCACTCGCTCTCTTTGAGGAGGTGCTTCAAAATCAGACTCTGAATCAGACCCTGAGTCAGACCAAGGGTTTCGTTTCTTGGTTTTCTTTA